TCATCAGTCCCCACAGGACCACCTGAGGACCCTCATCAGTCCCCACAGGACCACCTGAGGACCCTCATCAGTCCCCACAGGACCACCTGAGGACCTCATCAGTCCCCACAGGATCACCTGAGGACCTCATCAGTCCCCACAGGACCACCTGAGGACTCTCATCAGTCCCCACGGACCACCTGAGGACCTCATCAGTCCCCACAGGACCACCTGAGGACCTCATCAGTCCCCACAGGATCACCTGAGGACCTCATCAGTCCCCAGGGACCACCTGAGGACCTCATCAGTCCACACATGACCAACTGAGGACCTCATCAGTCCCCACAGGACCACATGCGTCCCCACAGGACCATTTGAGGACCTCATCCGTCCCCACAGGACCACCTGAGGACCCTCATCAGTCCCCACGGACCACCTGAGGACCTCATCAGTCCCCACATGACCATCTGAGGACCTCATCAGTCCCCACATGACCAACTGAGGACCTCATCAGTCCCCACAGGACCACCTGAGGAACTCATCAGTCCCCACAGGACCACCTGAGGACCTCATCAGTCCCCACAGGACCACCTGAGGACATCATCAGTCCCCACAGGATCACCTGAGGCCCTGATCAGTCCCCACAGGACCACCAGAGGACCTCATCAGTCCCCACAGGATCACCTGAGGCCCTCATCAGTCCCCACAGGACCACCAGAGGACCTCATNGGACCTCATCAGTCCCCACAGGATCACCTGAGGCCCTCATCAGTCCCCACAGGACCACCAGAGGACCTCATCAGTCCCCACAGGATCACCTGAGGACCCTCATCAGTCCCCACGGACCACCTGAGGACCTCATCAGTCCCCACATGACCAACTGAGGACCTCATCTGTCCCCACATGACCAACTGAGGACCTCATCAGTCTCCACAGGACCACCTGAGGAACTCATCAGTCCCCAGAGGACCACCTGAGGACCTCATCAGTCCCCACATGACCAACTGAGGACCTCATCAGTCCCCACGGACCACCTGAGGACCTCATCAGCCTCACCCATGGGACTCACCTGGCTTTTGTGAGATCTTTCCCACCCAAGCCTTAATGCCCCTTCCTGCTCGAGCTAGATGGAAAGGACCAGTGGCCCTTCAAACAACAAGAAGGCTACCAAGTTCATTGGACCCTTACCATTTATTATCCAGACCTTAAAAATACAAATCTCTTAGGAGGATAATTATCTGGAGCTTAAGATTACATAAACAAACACACACTGTGTCCACAAACAGACACACTCATCGTGTACACAGACACACAGTACACAAACATAGACACTCACAATCATGTCCACAGACATCGACACACGTTACATACACAAACGTGAACGCACAATAACTCTAAAACCCAGTTATCTCCACTAGAAGCTCTGTGTGGTGTTCTATTGACATGCCCATGTGCACACATGAGTTCTGTGTGGAGACAGGTCTTCCCCTCCGAGAAACAGGAAACCGCTGTGAGTCCAGAGGGGCCAGCTGCTCAGGGTCCTCCACACATTGCTGACTCCCGGCCTTGGCATCAGCACCAACTGCCTCACACTCCGCCCCCTGATGGCTGGCTGGCTTTCTTTCTTTCTTTCTTTCTTTCTTTCTTTCTTTCTTTATTTATTTATTTATTTTGTGTGTGTGAGTGTGTGTGTGGTCCTGGGGATTGAACCCAGGGCCTTGTGCAGGTGAGGCCAGCACACTACCACCTGAGCCAGGCCGCCAGCCCCTGCTGGCTTTCTTAGCCCTCAGCGCCTGAGATGCCTGAGTGTGTGGCCTACGAACTGATGCTGTGGGAAAGGGCTGTAGAGGGCAGGGAACCAAGGCAGGAAGGGTGGCAGCCCTCGTGGGGTCCCAGGAACATTGGAGCAGTCTGACAGGCTGCCCTGCCCTACCTGTCAGGCCAGGTCCTTCCTAACCATTAGGAGATGGGCACCAACTTTGGTACCAGGGGTTGAATCCAGGGGCACTTGACCACTGGGCCACATCCCCAGCCCATTTTATTTTTTTTAATATTATTTTTTAGTTGTAGTTGGACACAATGCCTTTATTTTATTTATTTTTATGTGGTGCTGAGGATCGAACCTAGTGCCTTGCACGTGCTAGGTAAGTGCTCTTCCTCTGAGCCACAACCCAGCACCCCCCCTCAGCCGTTTTTTTTTTATGTTTTATTTTGAGACAGGTTCTCACTAAGTTGCTCAAGACCTTATTAAGTTGCTGAGGCTGGCTTTGAATTTTCAATCCTCCTGCCTCAGCCTCCCAAGCAGCTGGGATCACAGGCGTGCCACACTGTGCCTGGCAAAAGCACTACTTCCTTCCTTCCTTCCTTCCTTGCTTCCTTCCTTCTTAATTAACTAATTAATTTCACAGTAGAATGCATTTTGACATATAGTATACAAATAGAGCACAACTTCTCATTCCTCTGGCTGTACATGAGGCAGAGTCACTCCGGTTGTGTAATCAGACATGTATACAGGGTAATAATGTCTGTCTCTTTCTACCATCCTTCCCATCCCCACAGCCCCACCCCATCTCTCAGTCCCCTCTACACAAACCAAAGTTCCTTCATTCTTCCCTACCCCGCCCCACCACCCCACTATGGACTAGCATCTGCTTATTAGAGAAATCATTCAGCTTTTGGTTTGGGAGATTGGCTTATTTCACTTAGCATGATATTCTCTAGTTCCATCCATTCAAATAAGGTTTAAGATGCACCCAGGTCTACTGGGTGCAGTGGCCAGTGCCTAGAGTCCCAGCTGCTCCAGAGGCTCGGTGGAGGATCACTGCAGCCCAGGAGGTCAAGGCCAGCTGGGCAACACAGCAAGACTGGGTCTCTGGAGAACACAAAGGAGGCAGCACGTGGGCCCAGCCACCTCTTCTGCCTCAGGAGCAGCAGGCAGAGGGCACACAGCCTGCACTGTGCATCCCTGCATGCCCGGCCTGTCTCCACCCTCCACCCTCCTGGCCCTCCTGGCCACAGCACAGCCACAGCCCATGCCAGCCTCCCCGGTGAGACCATCAGCAGGACTGAAGAATCGCCAATGCGGGAAGAGCGCCAGGCGTGCCCTGATGCAGCCCTGGACCCGAGCACTTACGGTCATTCTGCAGGAGCTTGTCCAGCGAGTCACGCCACTGCAGAGCCTCGTCCCGCGAGGGCCTGAAGAAGAGGGAGGACGGTGAAAGCAGGCCGGGGCAGGCAGCCCGCATACGGCAGGGCCACTGCCCTGCTGAGCATGATGCCGCTGACACCATTCTGGTACGAGGACGGTCTGTGGTGTCCCAGCAAATGGGTCCTGGCAGTCAGCGGCTGCGCTGTGGTGTCCCCTGGCAGATCTGTCTCCACAAAGCCAAGCTTCATGACCCGTGGGTCCCAGGCCAGCGGCTTCATGGTCTCCATCCCAAGCCCACCCCAGGGCCGGCCACCCCTCCCAGGGCTGAACTCCTCTCAGCCTTGCCCATTTGCTCTGCGGGGCCTGGGGCTCCCCATCCCCAGGCCCTCAGCAAGGTAGTGGAAGATGGGCTGATTGTGCCTCATGCCAGGAAGTGATCCTAGCAAGTCTGCATTTTAAACATCCATGCCAGTTCCCTGCCCGTTAGGACAGGGGAGTATTTTTGAGAAAAGCGGTTGGCACACCTCGAGTGGAACGTTGCCACAGATGCCAGCGGTGCTGACTAAGGAGAATTGGTGGCCACTGGCCATGACCTCCCTGGTGCTTCATCACAGTGCCCGTCCCCTCCTTGCAGTTCTTCCCTCCCGTCAGTGTGCCAGGGACCTGCTGGCCTCATCTGGGAGGTGTCCGGCTCTCCCTGCTACAGAGAGAGAGACGGGCACGGTGGGCCAGGGAGGTGTTTTAGCTCCGGCACACAGCCAACTCTGCACCCAGCCCGTGGGCTCCTGTTTCTAGTTTGAGAAACAGCAGGTGGCTTTTAATGTTTCGATCTAGTAGCTGAGACTGACACAGCCGTGGGTCCTTGTCCTGCAGGCTGAGAAGCAGCCTCACTGTCTGCAAGGGCAGTGGCACCTGCAGTGCTGAGCTAACCCCCTGACTCCATGCCCCGTGACAGAGCCTGCACAGACGGAGGAAGACATAGCTGTCATTGGCTGAACAGGTGAGCCGCCTTCTCTGCCCTTCATCCTGGGGGAAAGGGGGATGGGGAATGGCACAGACCTGCGTCCCTCGACTTTCTGGCCAGTGACCACTTGGGCTCTTCTACACTGCCTCATACTGAGACTCTCCCTAGGAATGTGTTCTTTGGCTCCTGCATCGCTGTCACAAGGCCTTGTATACCCTAATTTCTTCACTAGAGTGGTTTCAATATTTTGTACTTAATAGACACATATCACATCAAATTGTACATAGAAGCAGCAGAATATTAAGTTACTGGATAAAAGAAACTGGCTCAGAAAAGGGGAAGGCCTGATGCACTCACTGAATCTTCTGATCCTGGTGTAAGTAAAATGAAATCACTTCCCTGTGCCCTTTCCTCCGGGGTGAGAAGTGGGAGAGCCACGGTCTGAGCAGGTGCGCCAAGCTTAAACACCTTGCCAAATCCTATCTGTCCCAGGTGGTCTTGTTGGAGCCAGCTAGCAGTCGATGCCAGCAGCACATCACAGCCCAGATCAGTCCTGGAAAGGATACATGCAGGGCCCACTCAGGGCCAAGTTGGCCCATAGTAAGGTCAGGGTAGCCAGGTGGACGAAAGCCCCACAGCTCCTTCGGCTGGCACCCTGGGAGGCCTAGAGGTTCATCCTGTCCTGATTCTCAGAATGCATAAGCCCTCATTAGGTCCAACTTCTTGGAAACAAGACAGATGCAGGATGGCCAGTCGGCATCCTGGGCTGCAGGTCAGAGCTGACCAAACGGAGTGGGCGCCCTCTGTGTGTGAGTGTGGAAGGAGGGGCGGGAAGCTCAGTGAAAGGAGGGCAAATGAGCTTCGGTGGAGGTCTGACAAGGCCCAGCTTTTGTGGTTCAGGGGCCATCTCAACTGGAAGCCCCTCCTGTCCACTCTCTCACCCACCCTGCCTGATCTCCCTCACTGCCTGGGGGATCGCAGTCTTCAGGAAACCTTCCCCTTCTCCCGGCCCTGTGGCCTAGCCCCTGCAGCACCAGCCTCTAATGCATGAGTTTCTTGTGAGGGTAAAAGATGTCTGCAATTTGGGGTCCACACATGGACGTGGAAAAAGGCCAGGGTTTCCCCACCGGTACCCTGTCCATGGTGCCCAGGGAAACATCGGCCATGGGATAAGGACTCAGCAAATCCTCATGGATCTGCGGCTGATTGTGAGCTGCAGGCACTGCAGGGCAGCCTGCAACAGACATGTCCAGGTGCTGAGTACGTGAGTGCTGGCCCACTTATCCAGAGCAGGATGGGTGGCTAACAGCCACAACTGAATGAACTGAGATTTTTCAGTGGCTTCTAAGAAGCTATGGCCACGCCTGCTGGTGGCTGTGCCATGCATGGGCTGTGACCTCAGGTGGGGGAGGGTGTCATGACCTCTCTCATACCACTGCTGGTGTGGGTTGCCATGTTGTCTGTCTGGGCTTGGGCTGGGTTTGCAGTCTGCAGGGTGCCTGGCTTGACTTAATATTCCTGGTAAGTGTCTTTGCAGGTCCCTGCTCCGGTGGGAAGGTGATCCCCAGGGGTGTGGTGATACTCACCAAGGCCTGCTCTGCTCGCCCTGCCCTCCCCACAGGTCTAGCTGCTCAGGACCAGCCCAAGTCTGTGAACCCTGTCCCGCCTTCACCCCGTGGCCAGCAGTGACCAGGCTTCTAAACAGCAGCACTTTCCGAGGTCGACCCACTTTGCAGGCAGTGGGTGAATCCACCCTGGCCACAGCTGTGATGGGCGATGGTACTCAGAGCCCAGTCAGGAGCGTTTGTGTGCAGTCAGCCCAAAGCCCCTGAGCTGCAAACAGCAACAGCAATAGCAGGACCCCCAGGCCCCGCCAGAGATGGGAGCCTGGAGTGAAACCTCAGAGGAGCGCCAGGTCTCCCCTGCCATACSGTGGTCCATCACTGCCCCACCTGCAGTGTCCACAGGCTAAGCCCACGTGGTCTGCTGACTCTGCTCATGGCTTGCTGTGAGGGCTGCAGCCGGCCTGGGGCTTCTCAGATGCAGAGGGTGGGCGAACATGGGGCCACTTGAAGAAGAGGCTGGTGGGGAGGACAGAGGCCCAGACGCTAGGAAGAACGCTGTAGGAGGAGGCAGCCAGTGGGCAGACACCCTGATCGACAAGTTGGAAGTCTAAGAAGAGGCAGCTGGTGGGCAGACACCCTGGTGCACAAGTCAGAGCTCTAAGGAAAGGTCGCTGGTGGTCAAGTGAGAACTCTGAAGAGGACAGAGCTCATGGGCAGATACCAGGTGGACTAGGCACCCAAGCTTCCCTGAGCCATAAGCCTCAAGACTGATAAGAAGGAGGCAAGGAAATGCTGGGTGGTGGGGCAGGTATAGACTTCAGTCTCTGCAGTCAGCCATGAGAGGAGTGGTCAAGAGCCAGGAAGGGCAGCTGGGCCCTGTGCAGACTGGAACAGGCACAGCCCCGCTCTGTGGAGGGTTCCAGGGACAGAGAACCAGGAACCTTACCCAACCTTACCAGGCGGAGCTGGTTCTGGGGGAGGACACCGGCAGCTTTTTCTGTTTTTCTCAATGGCCTAATTTTTATGCAAATATGAATGTTTTTTAAAACAATAAATAAAAGAAAGTGTCTCCCAGGAGAGGAATCCCTGCTGATGCCAAGGAGAGGGTCAGAAACACTTTGTGAAGAGAAGGTACTTATCCTCTGATAGAACGTGGGTAGAGAGCACCCAGGGGAGGAGGCGCCCCAGGATGGGTGGGCAGGGTGGCAAGTTTGGGAGCAGCAGACATCAGCAGGCACTCCCAGGAATGAAAGGGTTCTCTCAACCCTGAGAACGTTTGGGAGGGGTGGGGATGGAGGTCAAGGGGCAAGAGACCCTGCAGATGGGGCCCAGCCTTCCTCCGGGGCTTTAGCAGGAATCCCTGGGCCCAGACTGCAAGCATGTCTGTGGGGCTTGTGCCATTTCTTAATGCCGATCCCAGCAGGTCAGTACCTGACCCACTGCCTGAGACTGCTGCTTCCTGCTGATGAGCCCTTTCAGCTGTGAGAGTCCACTGGAGGCAAATGGAGATGTCCACTTAGGGTGAATGGCAATTTTAAAAAGAAAAATCCCTGTCGGTGAGTCTCAACTCGTCCAGCTAGTTGGAGTTGGGAGGTGCCTAGACAGGCCTGGCTGGTGGAGCACCCAAGTGTTAGTTTAGGAAGGAGAAAGAAGCTGGCAGGCACACTCTGGTCTCCGGGATCTTCAGCAGTAGAATTCACCTGTTTCTTCCTCTGTGCAGAGAGAGGAGGGCTGCCCACCCTGTGTGGTAGTCTAGGAGCGCGTGGGGACTCTGTGCCTCCCATGCTGATGGAAAGAGGGCCAGCGTCCGGCAGGAGCTGACATCTCGACTCCCTGGCACTGCAGCTTCCTGTGGTGCCCAAGTTCACCTGAGCACAGGAAACCCAGGAGTGCTGGTTTAGGACCGGAGAGAGATCCTGCTCTGCAGGACTTAACATTGGCCATCCAGCATCCGCTCTTCTCTGGACCTGGGAGGTCTCCACATTGGAGAAGAAGCTGAGACTTGAGTCATCTGCCTGACCCTCAGAGGAAAACGCTCCTCACACCCTGAGAACGCTGGCCCTGCCCCCAGCTGCCAGCTGCAGCCTCCTGGCCCATGGTCAGGGTGCTCCTGGCCCCAGCCAGCGCCAGATCTGAGTGCTGGCTGACCAAGCAGGTGGCTGCTCCCTCTTACAGAGTAGGGTATGACTTTCTCAAGGTAAGGGCTCTTTCTCCCTCTCCTTCACTGGGTGTGTGTGTGTGTGTGTGTGATTCTGTCAGTATCTGACATTGTGCTCCATAAATGGAATCATAGGGAAAGTTTATCTACAAGCCAACTCTCGGAGGACTCTGATCTGCAGAGAGTGATGAGGGTCTGTGGAGCAGGGGTGCCTGGGCTCACTCACTTCTGGGGCTTGGCTGGCTTCTGCACCTTCTCATTGTATGGGATGATGAGGTCAACAGCCGAGTCGGGCTTCTGCAGGAGTGTGCCCAACTTGATCTTGATCTCCTTGGCCCTGGAAGAGAGAGAAGGGAACAGGATTGTCACACCAGCACACAGATCTCAAAAACAGACCTCCTCTGCCTCCAGGAAACAAAGGACAAAGCCATGTCCCTGCCTCTGTGCTTTTGCAGCAGGAAGCGCACCAGTGCAGAGACTGCTCGCCAGCACTTGCAGGCTGGCCCTGGTTAATCCGCACCGTCTTGTTTTAATCGTAATTGCTATACATGCATTCTCTTCTTTACTACAGAGAAGCTATAGTCGTGCCATTTTCATCCTGAGGATGAGAAAACTGAATAACAGGGAGCATAAATACCTACGACAACCAGCCAGGGTGAGCCGTGTCTCTGGAGTTGACAGGGTAATGGCTCTGCCTAGTCCACCCATCCTCAGGACTCTGTGCCCCACTACCAGTTGGGTACATGACATTTTATAAATTATTGTTTACTGCCTGGCCCCAGCCAGCTGGCAGAGCCTCTCACATGCAGCCGCCTTCACAGAGGCACCCTGGTGGCCTCGGACCTGCCAGGGCTGTCTGCTGCCCTGGGTGGCCAGCATTTCAGGGCGTGAATGTAGTCCCGGTTCTGGACTCCCCTCCTCCAAGATGCAGCCTTCTCACTCTCAGTCCTAAGGGTAATCTTGAGGTCATGCTTCCCTTTATCGGGACTGAGATAAAGAGCACTGAGCAATCTCTGATTCTCACCAAGGAGTGAGCCCTGCAGACACCCAGATGGTCCTCGCCTGGGTGCTGTGGCACTTCACCCAGCTCGTAAGGGTGATGTCAAACTGTATGACATTCATGATTATGTGTCTGTTTCCAATTTGACAAGAGAACTCCTGGAAAGTAGGAATCTTAAAGGCTTCCATCCCCTGTGCCTGGCAAAAGGCTGGCATGAAAAACATTCAAGAATACTTGCTGAGAATATCTAGGTCTTTTTCCTCATAGAGCTGTTAACATTTTTCTTTGAGTGGAAGCTAATCATAACCAGGCGAGACAGAGAAGCCGTGGGGTCAACCTGTAGTTAAGTTAGGTTCTGCTTCTTTTCCACAAACCACAGGGAGACCAGATGAAAGACTTCAAGTTACAGAATGCCAGGAGGATGATTACGGATGTCAGAGAAGTGAAGAGCACTCCACTAAATATCTAGTTTTGACACCCCATTTTTCCTTAGCACAGGGGGTACAATAACTACTGCTAAGAGAGTCCATTCTGCATTGTCCATCCTTTCTGCTCTTTCCCCAAGACCTTCTCACCACTAACCCAGTGGGTTGGCTCCCTCCCTGCCCAGCATGGCAGGCTGTAGAACAAGATGCTCTGTGCAGGACCAGGCCAAGCCCAGATGTTAGGGTCCCCTAGGGTCAGGAGGGTGTGGTGAGGTAGGAGCTCTGTGCAGGACCAGCCTAACCCAGATGTTAGGGTCCTCTAGGGTCAGGAGGGTGTGGTGAGGTAGGAGCTCTGTGCAGGACCAGGCCAACCCCAGATGTTAGGGTCCTCTAGGCTCAGGAGGGTGTGGTGAGGTAG